TGGACGAACTTTTAGAAAGACTTAAAGGGAAACTACGAAAGGGCTGACACTCTAGCGAAATGCGGTGGCCGACGGAGCCTGATAGGCCCTCAGCCTTTCTTTGGTCCATCAGAGGATAGACAGCAGAGCTCCGAAAAGGATAGGAGCACTTGCAAGTTACAAGCCAATGGCGCACGACAAAGGGCAAAAGGCAGTCGAAAAGATTCATAACTCCCTTTCGTGAAATCTTTGAGCGACTGCTAAATCTTGGCAGAGAGGGTTTAAGGACTCTCACCGAATGCCTGTCAGGACACTGCAGACTGAGGTACCATCTGCTCAAAATGGCACGCTCTGAGGAAACGAACAGCAGGATTCGGCTTCCATGACAATCTTCTTTCAAAGTTGATTCATTTACGAAGAGGAATGAACACTTAATGGCCCCATAATGATCCCGAAATAGTCCCGAAACGATCCTAAACTAGCTGTAAACTGATCCCGAACTAGTCTCGAAATGTTTCTAAAATAGTCGTGAACTCTCCCGAAATTAGCCTTAACCCGAAAAGGACCTGTAGTCCGTGCTGTTATTCTCCATATGTCTGAGGCTATAAGCGGGAACATCTTGGTGGAAAGGACGATGAAGTTAGAAGAAAAATTGCATAGCGTCAGGACCCATCGATGACGCAGGTTTAAGCCAAGAGAGCCGATAATATCGGTGAAACTCAAAAAACATGGCAGGCAAGCAAAACCATCATTTCATAAGTAACATCTGAAGAGCCACAACACCCCTCAACCGCGGTAGACATAAACCCAGGATATTAACAGCCTTTCCTGCTAGCCATTGCAGAATACCGAAGTGCTCGTCAAACTTGGGTGTCACGCTCTTTCATAGGATCATTTTAACTGTATGCAGGTGACATTAATACCACATCAACAAGGTACTTCCCGAGGCTATTCAATAATACCTGGATCAGGTTGCTACTAAACCCAACTTCGGTATCGTTGAGCCTAAAATTAACGGGTTTAACAACGGTATTTAATAGCTAACAGCTCGGATGCTAAGGTTATTTCACAAAGGAAGCCTTAAAAATAAATTAAACTGTGAGTATAGATAAATAAAAACAATAACCACTACAGCAAATAACTAGTAAAAGGAAAGAAAAGGTAAACTTAAAGCCTACACCCGATGTCCATGACTTCCCCGCAATGTTTTTGGTGGCTGAGCAAATGATTTGAGCTAAGCTTAACATACATACCTTTGATCATTTGTGAAGTTGATATTCTCATTTCCCATGCCGGTTGGCATGCCCATCCAGGAGTAACGTTGGCTTGGACCCATACCCATGCTGACGCCTGGTCCAGGGCCAACACCGATGCCGCTACTGCCGCCGGCAATACTTCCGCCGCCAACACCGACACCGACGCCAACACCACCACTACCAGTGTCTTGCGTCTTCGCAGTGCTCAATATTGAAGCTGGTTGTCGTCTAAAATAGGAACTATCCATATCGGAGTCAGGTGATTTGTCGTCGTTATTCTGAAAGTGTCTTTGATAGCTGCAACAAAAAAAAGTTGATTACATAAAGTAAATGTTTTTCCAAACCACATAAGTAGTAAGCGCATAAAATTTCACTTGCCGCGGATACTTGTAGAAGGGAGCGTACGCAGCTAAATTCTCATCTGATGGCACCCTTCGCCCAACACAGCCACCCAGAAAGGATTGCGGCACACCGCTACGTCGCGAGAGACAGCCAAAGAAGCGATCGCGGCGCGGCCTCTCGATGCTATGCAGCTGACGATCGGTTAGGCAGTACTGTACTTAAGGGACAAAAAGAAAAGAAAGAAATACGACCAAGCATAAGAAAAAATGTGGCGGTGCAGGTAATCAGGAACAAAATAAAAACAGTGCACGAACAAAAACCGCAGGGCAAAAAGTACAGCAGTCGTAGAGCATTCACCTGTTCGCGTATATCGCCTTTCGAGTAAACGGATGGACGTGGATACAGTTCTGTGGAGGAGGTGTGTCGCAAGCGGCGTCGACTCATATTCTCATCTTCGGAATCGTAACTGCGATCGTAATGGCTAGAAGCTGCTGCTGACTGCAATGAAGCGAAAAGTGCAATGCAATAATTAATGGATTTCATAAGCGTACCGTCAGCTTGACGGCAGTGAGCGAGTGTGGTGCGATGTAATCGGCCTGCCGGCTGGCTTGCTTACCTTAGACGCCACTTCGATGGTGCCTAGCGAAACTGCATGATGTAAACCTGAAAATGGGAAGGAAAAAGAGGCTGTAGACAGTTGTTGTAGAGCTCTAGCACATCTGTGTGTGTGTATGTGTGTGTGTGTGTGTGTGTAGTGAATTTTGTAGCTAAAGGAAGACGGAAAAAATAATTAGCAACACAAAATTAGTTGCAAATATAGTGTGGAACGACGGCTCAACAGCGGCAATGAAGACAATGAGTGCAACGAACTTTTTGACCGGCGCGCAGTGCGCAGCCGTAAAACACAGCGACACTGGGAAAATGAGTTGACCATTTAAATTTCAATTATTGCCGATTAAATGGTTGTTAATGGAAATATTACTGAAACTGATTGGCAATAAAGATGCATGGGGTCAGTGGAGTGTATAAAGACTGAATGCTTTTTGATTAGAAAGGTAATGTGAAATCTATATGTGATCAAGTAGCATCGAACAGTAATAAAGTAAAGACGAACAACAAAGTGCCGAGATAATGGTTAATTAGGATTTTCTTGGATTTAGAGAACTCCGCGTGTCACGTTAAAGTCATTCTCAGATAGGTTTCTGTACCAAAATGTATTGAAGAAAGGCGTGAGTATCGGGTAATCATGAAATATGATGAGTAAACATCTAGTTATGCACGGCTTCACAAATCATTAGGCGATTCAGTTTTATACATAAATTGGCTAGATTAGAAATTAAGCATTAATTTCATGCCTTTATATCGAGACCACAGTACACTGCTTTTTTATAACCACTTCGGGAATGGTTGGGACATATTTCAGGATCATTTCGTGACTAGTTTCTAACTACCCGAAAATGATCCCGAACTAGTGCCAGAATGACTTCGAATAAGACTTGAAATGATCCGGACATGGTCCCTTACCGGTCCCACAATGACCCCTAACTAGCCCCGAAATGGTCTTGAAATAGTCCGGAACATGTTTCGAAACGGTCCTGAACTAGACCTGAATTAGGCCAGAGCTAGCCTGAAATGGTCCCGAACTAGTCCCGCAGTGGTCCTGAAATATTTCTAAACTACTCCCGAAATGAACCTGAACTAGTCCTGAACAGGCCCCGAAACGGTCGGAAAATCGTAAACTTGTCCAGAAATGAACTCAAACAAGTCTTAAAACGGTCCCGAAATGGTCCCTTATTATTCTCAAAATGATCCTGAACTATCCCCAAAATGATCGCAAGCTTGGCCTGAAATGTCCCTGAAATAGTCCTAAATTAGTCTCGAAATGGTCCAGAACTATGTAGTCCTTAAATGATCCCCAAAACTAGCCCCGAAATGATCCCGAAATTGGCCTAAAATAGGAATAAACAGGTCCCAAAGCGGTCCCCAAATGATCCCGAGGTAGTCCCGAAATGGTCCTGAAATAGCCCTGAACTAGTAGAGAAATGTTCATATGTACACAAAGGAAGGATTCACAGATTTTCTGTTGGGTTGCACAAGAAGCAGTCACAAATTTTCAGCTTGGTTACCGCGAATTTTACTCATACCGAGTGCTAAGAAGTTTACACATCATAAATAACCAAGTTACGCTAATAGCAGATCCTTATTTTATTTAATGACATCAAAAAGCATCCCCTAGCTGCCTGGGGTGCTTCGTAGTGGCGCGTCTATGGCTTCATCCACTGTACACTACTATTTATGTAGGCCCTGGTGATTTAAATGGGGCAGCATACTTAGTTAATAATCCACTAGCTGCTAATTTTCTTCGTTGACATAAACTTTGTATGCTGCCGTGTCCGCCGAACGCTAAAACTGAGCAATAAATGAACCGACGCCAGAAGCTCACATTGTTGTTGTTGTGGTCCCTCAATCGTTGTCGTCAAGCCCAACTAACGGGAGACCCAAGAAGCGTGTAGCTTCTATCGGATCTGTCCATAAGGACAGAGGCGTTAGTTAAGTGGAGTTCAGTGGGCATGCGAAGAGATGTCTCGAGTCGTGAGGTATCTGTTCGAATGCCGGGCACTCATTTTGCACATCCTCATTTAATCTGCTCAGGTACGAGTTTAACCTGTTGCAGTAGCCATATCGAAGTTGGGCTATTATGATCCGAGTCTCCCGAGGCAGACGAAGCTCTGTCTCGTCCACGTCTGATGGTTGTGTGCCCAAAACGGCATTCACAGGTCGAGAGTCTACGTAACTTGAGACCGACTACCTGTGAATGCCGTTCAAGACCTGTCAGTATGCTGTGGGGTCCAGAGGTTGCTTTATGAACCTCTGGACTTCATCCGTCAGTTCGTATAGATGCTTTATGACGTGTCGTCGCGAGGGCTCTTCCGCAAGCAAATGTCTGTTTGGGTGCTCACGTCGGTGACACCCTACTATGAATTATTTGCAGAGCGTTATGTTATGCTTCTGAACTGGGTGCATATGAGCCTCGCCGTGCAAGTGTCGCCGGAGTGTCGTATTCTGGCAAGTATGCAGCTTCAACCACTGCGTCCCTGGCGACCACACAGGCGCTGCGTAGTTTAGAACCGGCCGGCCATTGGGACGATGCCCACGACATTTCTTTGTTTTGCGACTTGAGGACTTTGTTGCGGCGTTGTACTCTATTGGTAGAGCAGGAGAGCAGACTGTCGAACGTAACTCCGAGTATTTTCGAGTTATTTACCATCGGAATTGGTCCTTCGTCCAGGTGTTAAAAAGTTTGGCTGAGGATTTTGTAGGGGAGAGAGTTAGGCTCCTTGCAGTGAAGAAGCGATAAATCTCGGCGACATGACCGTTGACTTTCGAGAAGAAGTCGTCAATTCCATGCCCAGACGTCATTATCGAGCATTCGTCAGCATAAGAGACTCCCTCTGGTGATTTTGGGAGCTTTAAAACGTAATAATTAAACAGCAGCGGGGAGAGGACACCACCCTGTGAAACCCCCTATTTAATCGTTCTCGGTTCTCTGGTTTTGCCAGAATCTCATTGGTTCCCTTGGTATGACAGACCTTTCGTTGGCCATCAATATGCATACTTGAAAGGAAAATACAAGCTCTCGGTCCCCAGGGTATTTGTATAGTAGTGATATGCCGGAATTACTCCCAGAAAGGCATTTTAGATTTGTCTCCACACTGGGTAGTCGATACTACGAAAAATAGCCGTCTAGGTCGGACGTGGTCGGATCAATGGCCAGATAAGGCAAGTCTAACCGGGCAATTTGGGCAACTGTCTTTCAACTCACCACAGTCTTTCGAATGCCTAAAGTCTTTAGTAAGACAATTGCAAATTCTGGCAACTATCTGCCTTCCGAAAGACTAATTGAAAGATCTGCTAACGAGGAGGTCTTAGCGTTATTCTGTTTGTCTTTTAGCATTAAGCCTTCCGAAAATTAAATGAAATTAAAAAATATATATTTTTTTTAAACAATAAAAACTAAAAATTAAAATAAAGTAAAATTTAATTTAAAATAAAGGATTTTTTTTTAAATAAATGATATTAAAACGGACATATTTAAAAATAAAATTTAAAGATTAAAAGAAAATTAAATAAAAAAGGGAAACAACAATAAAAAAAATAAGTTCCTAAAAATTAAATTAAATTAAAAGATATTTTTCTATTTAAAATAACATAATCTAAATAATAAAAGAAAATTAAATTAAAAAAGAAGAAAGAAACATAAGTTTCTAAAAATGAAATTAAAAAACGACAAAAAATAAAAATAAAAAAATTAAATAAATATGAAAGTGAAAAAAATAAGTTCTTAAAAATTAAATGAATTTAAAAATCTTTTTTAAACTAGAAAATCTAAATCTAAAAAAATTAAACAAAAAACCAAAAAAAGAAGAAGTGAATATATGTTTCTAAAAATTAAATAAAATTAAACAATAGCATCCAAAAATTAAATTAAAAACCGATAAACTTAAATAAGTTCCTAAAAAATAAATAAAATATATATATTTTTCATAAGACAGTAAAATCAAAAAAATTAGAATTAATTAAAATTAAGAAAGAAAAAATAGTTTCTTAAAAATTAAATTAAATTAAAAAAAATATTTTCCTTTTTAAAACGCTAAAATCAAAAAATTTAAGAAAAATTAAACCTAAACTAAAGAAATAAAAGTTTCTTAAAAATAAATTTAAAAAAAAATTATTATTTTTAAAACATTCAAATCAACGCAACAAACACCTAAATGTACACGACAAAAAATAAAAATTAAATATGTTTCCAAAAATAAACGAAATAAGAAATATATAAATGTTTTTTTTTAATAATAAAATCTAAAAATTAAAATAATTAAATTTTAAAAAAGGAAAAAAAATCCGCTGCTCGAGGACTCGAAACTCCGATATACCGAATGGCAACTAAGTGCTTTGCTCACTCGGCTATGTCGACTTTGGATCAGCGCGAGCTTTTCAACATGGAAATTGGAAGTGCAGAAATTTACTAAAAGAAGCTAGACTCTTTTTTACTATCTTAAATTATTTTTCTTGACTACTTGTTTTTGTGCAAGTAAGCAGAACCTAGTCACAATTACTGAAATGAATACAGCGGATTGCTATTTTTTCCAGCGTTACTTGGCATTTACGACAATTCCGTTGGACTCACAAAAATAAATTACTATAAGTAAAACTGTCTGGTACCGAAGTAACGAGATTCGTGTGATATGAACTTTGTGATAAAAATGTTAATTAGTCATCGTTGCCATTTTTTGCCGTGGAAGTTAGTTCCTTATCAAAAATTAAATCAAATAAGCCGATTAATCGATTATTTGACAATAATTGCAATTAAATGCAATTATTTATTTATGTCTTTTGATTAATCAATTGTTTAATTAATTGATCTAAATTATTTTATTCCCAAATTTCTGTCATGAATATTAGGCAACTAGAGAATTTCAGTACAATTTGATCTAACATTTTCTCGAGTAGTGAATTAAATACAAATGTATGCTCACACAGTAATATTCATACATACATACATATGACATCAAACATTTGAGATTAGGGAACAAAAAATAGGGTAACAAATTCTCTAGTACCATCTAATAACAAATAAAAGACAAATCCACTATTTTAATTTTGATCTCATTCTTAAGCTTAACAAAACAAAATTTAAGGGTAAAGTGCACTTTTTCCCCCTCAAAACTTGTTTTGTCCTTACCTCTTGGTGTTGTGTTTCGCATTTCACATTTCGCATTCAATTTTATTTATTTAGAAAGAAATGTGAAAAATATGCTACACATAAATAACTATGTAATTGTATTTGAAGGTCTTTTAACTTTAACTTTTACTTTCTGCCACTTGATGTTCACCTTGCTACCTTCCAATTACGTACTTAAGAACTTAAGTATACGAACGTGCACACATACATACACAAGTAAATAACCAGCGTAAAATTGCTGATTTGGCAACACCTACGCGAAAAATAACTCAACCGTACAACTACCCACACCACCTCATCCATATTGTGTATAAAGTACAACAACACCCAGGTAAGTAGGTAAGCTGAAGACTATAATGAAAGTTAAGTAAGTGAAATACATACAGACATACATACAAACAAACAAATGTATTGTACATGCAATGGCAACAGAAAATCCAAGGACCCTACATGTTTTTTTACTGGACCGTCGAGAACAGGGAAATTACATTTGTGCCAACAACAGCACACGCCTAACGAGAACGAAGAAAACAAACCAACAGACCTACCAAAAACAAGTATGTATGTATGTACATAAGTACGTACGGTGATACAAGTCATGCCACCCTACACAAAAATTTGTCCAAAGTAGCATCCACACAGCAAATGAGAAATTCATAAGCATTGTAACTGATGATGCTTTTGGCGGCCGACAAAGGAGGTGCAACGGACAAAGGAGAAGATAATGTGAGAAAAAATGTGGATGACTGTTCTGGTGAGCGAGCGAACGTTGAGGACAATTGCCAACACACGCAAGTATTTGTGTTTATAAAATGAAATTTATTTTTTTTTTTTGAGCGCCAACCTTGGTAACGTGTAGTTTTAATAGTAGTGGTAATGGTAATGGTAATGATAATCGTTGTGGTAATGGTAATGGAAACGGTAATGGAATTAGCAATGGCGCTGGTAATGGTAATGATAATAGAAATAGTAAAGATATGTAATGGTAGAGGTAATAGTAATAGTAATGGTAATGGTAAAGGCATTGGTAATGGTAGAGGTATTGGTAAAAGTAATGGTGACGGTAAAGGTGACGTAATGTTACTTGGTATTGGTGATCATAACGCTAATGTTAATGGTAATGGTAGTAGTTATGGAAGTGGTAATTGTATGGTATTGGTAATCGTAATGCTAATGTTAATGTTAATGGTAATGGTAGTGGTTATGGAAGTGGTAATTGTAATGTTAAGGGTCAAGTTAATAGGGACAGTAATAGGAAATGCAATGTTTTTGGTAAAGCTAACGGTAATTCTATTGGTATTTATGGCAATGGTAATGGAAATCTTAATACTAATAGTAATTATAGTAGTAGTAGTAATTGTAATAACAATTGTTAAAGTTATGTTAGTGGTTGTTTCAATGGTAATGGTAATGGTAACGGTAATGGTAATAGTAATACACAGTAGTAGTAATTGTTATGGCTATGATAACGATAATGGTAATGGTGTTGATAGTCACAATGGTAATGATAAGGCCAATGGTAATGGTAATGGCCATGGTATTAGTGTTAGAATTGGTATTGGTGTTAGTATTGGAATTGGTATTGGTAATAGTATTGCTTTTGGAATTGGTATTATTATTGGGACTTGTATTGGTATTGCTGTTATTATTGCTATTGGTATTGGTAATGATAGTAGTAACGGGAATGAGAACAGTAATGGTACATACAGATCATGTTTAAGAAACTGTTTTCCATTTTTACAAAAATATTTGAAAAGCAAAAAACGATCACCCTAATACTTGTAAATGGTGGATACATACCATTTGACTTACCATTTGGTCGCATCGCCACAGCCATCCTTTTTTGTGACTTCTGTGCCGCCCAATGCTTTCACTGCTTGCTGACTACTGTCTGCTAGCCTCCCTCCCTCCCTCCCTCCACTGCCTCACTTCTCAGCTGCTGGCGCTGGATAAGTGACTGCCGCGCGTGAGATTTCGCCTAGATTTAGCTATAATTGAAGTGGATTCTCATGCAGGAATGGCAGGCGCGCTGGGAAGACGCGTGAAGCGGAGAGTTGAAGCAGGAACAAACCGTATGTACAGTGTCTCGTGATTTGCAATTTATTTAATGTTACGCGCACGGAGCACCGTCGCTACCTCCGTCCGTCTCTGGCACTAGGCTGGCACTAGGCTGACCCAGTCGCCGACTATATTTATTTAGTTGGGGTCCTTGATGATGATGATGATGGCAAGATGTACATATGTATATATTGTATGGTTGCTGTTGTTGTTGCTCTTGTCAAGTTTTTTTTTTTTTTTTTTTTTGTTATTTGCAGACTTCAAAAATGTGTCGCAAAGTCGTTGGCAACTTTAATATTTGATGGTCATAAATCTTTTTAGCTTCTGCCTTTGGCTGTTGAATTTTTTCTTTACTTTTGCTTTCTTTCAATGATCACACTTAGCGTGTCCTCTTGCGTGTTTGCACGTGTGTCGTTTTGATGTTCCATTTGCGTGCAAGTGTAGGTATGGATGTAGGTGTGTGTGTATTGATGTGTTATTTTTGTTGCTGTTGTTTTTGTGGCAACTACATGCCTTCATTTAATTTAAGCGCATTTGTTGCTGTTGGTTGTCGCTGGCGTTGTTGTGGTTGATTTCATGTGTTGTGATTGCTTCTATTGTTGTTAAGCTTTTGTTGAAATTTTATTGTTAAGACTGCAAAATTGTTTTCAATTCTTGTATTTTAGGCAACTCAACTTGAATTTATGACGGTGTCAACAACGTTGCTGGCAACTGCCACTAGGCCTGGTGAAGATGCTTTCTACAAAGCATCTGAAGTTTTTGTATTTGCTCTGGTAGCTACTAAACAGTCCTTCGGTTATCGGGCATTTTTCTCAGCTTTTAATGGTCCCGCTTCTTGGAAGACTGCTGCAGCTGTCGATTCCTGTTGTGGCTGTGTAACTTTCGTGACGTCTCTTATAGTTTGTTAATCGCTCACTCAGATCAATCTTATTATTCTTGTTCATCTTCTTTTATTAAATTTTTAGTTTTCTCTTCATTCAATCGTTTCTATGTTCTTCTATGTTGATTTCTCTGTTAAAATATTTTATACGATTCTACGTGTTTTAAGCGCATATTTCTGAGTTTTTAAAATTAAATAGTTCCACAAGCATTTTTTTCGTAGGACGCCACAAAATTTTCATAATTTTGTATCGCCGAATCAGTCCGTGCAAGAATTCCAAAGTTGAGTTTTTTCTACTTCATAAACATACATTTGTACATTAGGGTGGTCCAAAAATTTATGTGAAAAAATTAAGTCGGAATTTTAATGCTCTAATCCCCTAGGATTGCTCTATACAGACAAAAATTTACCCCTGTTTTTTTTTTCTTTTTTTTATCAAAAAATATTTAGAGGTCGCTCAAATCTTAGAAATCTTCCATGTATTTTATATGGGGAAAAACAAGTTTTTGTGAAAATGGTATAGAATTCTTTAAAATCAATATTTTTCGACCGGAAAAATCTGTTTCTCTTCAGGAGACTTCCAGTAATAATACTCAATTGTTTATTTTACCGTCTTATAATACTAACGATTTTTTAATGCATTTTTTTGGGGTTTTTTGTGGTAAACAGTTTTTGATTTCAAAATAAAAATTGCTTATCCATTGGGTAATCTTGTTAACGCCGGTGATAGCAAATTTAATAGCCTTATCTAATACAAAAAAGAATTTTGAGATTGGCCAACCACGTCCAAAGAAAATTGCAATCAAGTGAGTGCACTTTTTTTCAGATCCATAAAACCAGAAATTTGACTATATCTCAAATACTAATTTAGTATTCGAATTCAGCGTACAATTCTTCATAAAAACTTACAAAAAAATGTCGCGGTTAGCCAACTATATCCAAAAAAAGTTGCAATTAAATGAGTGCACTTTTTTCAGATCTCAAAAACCAGAAATTCCGCTTTATCTCAAAAACTGTTCTACGCTCTTAGATTTTAATTTTGTATTCAGATTCAGCAGGTAATTTTACATTAGAATTATTTATAATCAATGTCGCTGGTCGGACAATTCTTTCATTTCTGTAATCTTGTGTTATTGCCGACAAAAATGCAAGGCGGACCCGAGTGCGTTCTATTATGAAAAAAATTTTAGTCTTTTTTTCCTTAGAAAATAAGCTATCGATATAAGCCAGCGTTGGGCAGAGAGAGCTTCTACTCCGCTCGCGCCTATACAAAATGTATAGAAAGCTTAAAAGAGCTTTGCCCGCGGGCAAGGCAGGGCCCATCAGTGATATAAGCCATTTGCGAAAAAGCACATTGTTTAAAAAATGCAATAATTTTTTTTATTGCAAATTTGGCAAAAAATTGTAGTTTCCACCAAAAAGTACGGAAAAAGTTCTAATAGGTCAGCAATTTTTGATGCTTGATATAAGAATTTTTAAAAAGCTTGTGACTAAAAGAAAGAGCTGAAATTTGCATGTTTAAACTTGTATAACTCGGCATAAAACCGCGGTAGAAAAGAATTGTTTTACACATTCGTTACCAGTAACCATAGCAACAAGGTGGTGGAGTTTGAAATAAAATCCTAGCATGCATTTTCTTTTTGGTACACATGGCGAATTTTGCCCCATACATAATGTGACCAACCGTACTTCTTTCAGAAGTACAGTACTTCTTTTTTAGCTCTTATACTTCGTACTTCGAAGTACAGTCAAATGTACTTCTTTGCAACATGTTGTACTTCAGCTCCTGTAGTTCTCCGATTTTCTGGACGATCGTCATATGGCTTAGGCGATGAATTCGTGCAAATCATTAAAGTCGCCTGGAACCGATGCCATCATACTTGCGAACTGCGTGAGGACCGGGTATATCCCCAAGGCTTGGAGGGTAGTCATTGTTGCGTTTATCCCGAAGGCCGGAAAAGGATCTCATCTTTCTTCGAGGGATTTTAGGCCTATCAGTCTGTCTTCGTTTTCGCTAAAATCGGTAGAGAGATGGATAGACCTGTACATAAGAAACGCGATTCCTCGTGACTATCTTTCAAGAGCTCAATATGCTTATTGCAAGCTCGGTGGATACCACCCTGCACACATTGCTAAAGTGGTCAGAGGAAGCCTTCACACAGTAGGGGCCTTCCTCGATATCGAGGGAGCCTTCAGCAATGTCACTCCAGAGGCAATATTCAAATCTATTTATAATTTGGGGGTTGAAACCAAGCTCTATGGAGCTCTATGCAACCAGATTTAAGCTTATCTTGTTTCACGGAGCCCTTGTCTGGTGAACCCGCTAGATAGAGAAAGCTGCACTTGTAAATTAGGAATTAGTGGAGCATTAGGAACCACAGCTATACTGACGACAGAATTTTAGCAGCAGGAACTGCTATCAGGCTAAGGGAAACCGGGTGGTAACACTCTGGATTTCTAGGGGGGCTTTGACTTCGCCCTGAACACATAGATTACAGCGCCTTTGAAATGCCTGCCAGAAGTTCCTCCTCTGCCTATGTTCCCTCAAGAGATGACTGGGTAGGGAGGGATTACTAAGAATTCCGGACTTCTGCAGCGTCTTTCAGGTGGAAATGGCTGCGATCAAGGAAGCGGTAGACTCACTGCTAAAGGGTATGGTGTTGCGTTAAAAACCGGTAAAGTGCATTATCCATCGCGTCAGAGAGGTAATTCTTCTAGTTTTGGTGCCGGGTCATAGTCATGACCTGGCGTTTGAAAGGCACCCCCCTTAAAAAGTTGTCCCCAGATAAGGAGCAACTAGGGACGCCTCTGTTCTCCTGCAGTACACTATTGGATGGTTGGGCCTAGTGTGAGCTCGGCGGGCGCTAAACTAACACGCATACTTGTACTTGTACTCGCGATAATGAGATTGCATATTTTACTAAATACCTAATAAAATGGGCAAAAGAAAGTGATGCTCGTTTTGTGACATAAAAGAGGAAAACAAGTCGTTTCTCCGCTGCAAAAATTGTTTTTATAAGGCACTTTAAAATACTTTTTGCAGCGCTAGTAACGAGTGACCCATCGCTTCCCCTTAAAGGTACCGAATACCACATTACCTCTCAAGAGCTAGTGATGGAGGTTCTGACAGGCCATTGTGCGATTGATATTCACTCGGTCTTCGCGAGGCTAAGATGGAAGCATTTTGGCTCGCTCTTCTGAACTAACAATGAGCTCTCACGGATCGAAATTAGCCGCATTCGAAATTTTAAATCGGCTTGCGGCGTTAACCTAACACAACCTAACCTGTACTTCTTTGAGCTATGAATAAGTTGATCACATTACCCATACATGAATATCTATATATGGGGATGAATCCGAATATGAGGATGAATACGAAGACGAATACGAATATGAAGCGGAATACGAAGAAGAGGACGAATACATAGATGATTGCGAAGACAAATACAAAGACACCACTGAAACGAATACGAAGAGTAATACGCATACCATCCGAAGACGAATAGGAAGATAGCGACTAAGACAAATGTGTATATGAAAACAGAGACTAAAACGAAGACGAAAACCTTTTCGGTACTCTTAAAGAACGGCCGACACAGATCTGTGGAACCGGGATCCGCTATCAGAACTCATACATAACCAAGAAAAACATATGAAAAACACAGAAATATTTAATTATGGGTGTCTTTGAAGTTAGCTTAGGCCAAGATCCTCTTAGTTAATTCTGATTAATTCGGATTGAGGTTCAGCACGGCGTAATATAAATAAGTAGATATGTATGTAACTACCCTAGGTTCCTAAATTTATTTTGTGTAGCCATTGTTATGAGAAAAATAATATCTAGGGACACGATATTTTGACCAGTTTTAGTTATTTTTCAAACTTTGTAAAAAAAATTAGAAAAACAATGAGTGCTAGTTACTGTCAATATTCAACCGTTTTCTAGTTTTTTAAAACCCCTTCTAACTTAGCACGTCGTTTTTTTTTTCAAGGTACAAAATTACCAGAAAATGTTCTGCTTTGGAACTAAAACGTGACTACATTTTTTTTATATCTTTGAAGGTCTTTGAATGACTTTGGCAGGACTTGGCATTGACCCGATACATTCTAGTTTGTCGATAAATTTCGAGAATTTGACACATATCGATAATTCAATAAATTTCAAAAACACTGAAATCCGAAAACTCCAAAAAATTATATAACTCGACTAATTTTGATAATTTTCAATAACTGTGAGTTTCGATGGCTCGCTAAATTTTGATAACTCAACAATTTAGATATGTTGCCCGATATAAATCGATAACACTATAAACTTTGGATATATCGATAAATTTCGATAACTCGTTACAATCTCGGAACACTATAAAATTCGATAAGCAGTAATAACTGGATAAAGTATTATAACCTTGAAATTACGATAACTCGATATATTTGGAAACTTCGATTCGATAAATCGACAAACTTCAGTAAATCTATAAATACATATCTGCAAATTTTCATTAAAATATTGCACTTTTTATTAACACTCTTCAGAGAAAATTTGAGTACGCAGTTTTTTAGCCCATTCTATTTTAGTATAACGAAATGCAAGTTTGAGGTAGCTAGGGCTTACCATTGATTTTTGGCAAATTTTTTTGTTGAAGGTGTCGCTCATTTTCTCAATATAAAATAATGTTCTTTAATTTTTTTATATGGAAAAAATGTGCGACACCTTCAACAAAAAAATTTGCCAAAAATCAATGGTAAGTCCTAGCTTCCTCATTCTTGCACTTTAGTATACTATAAAATTGAATGGACTAAAAAACTGCATACTCAACTTTTTTCTAGGGAGCGTAAATAAAAAGTGCAATATATTGAATGTAATTTTGCGGAATTTTTTGTTTAATTTTGCACAAGGTTTGGAACTCTGATTTTTGGGGTTTTTGCTGTAGAATTAACCACATTTTTATAAAAAATTAGCGAAAAATAAAATATTTAAAAAATAGTTGCCCGTATTTATTGCAAAAAAATTCGCTGTACCTAATCTTTATTGACTGACTGTACATGATTACATTTCATGAAGCTGTAGCAGTAATCTTGTCATGAAAAAATTACCATATCTTTTGTTGTAGTTTTTTTTTTTTTCTTAGTTACCTTTGTTGTTTTCACACACACATTTATGTACACTTGTTCAAAATTATGAAATATTTTTTTTACCTTTATATAAACTTACTTTTCTCCAACATTTCCGCTTGTTTTTCGACTGCGCTAAGCCAACACTCGCTTGAGGTTTTTCGCACTTTTTTTTATTACTATTATTTTTTATTGAAATGAAAGCATTTACCGTTTTTTTTTTGTTTTTGTT